AGGGTTGAAGTCCCAAAAGGTTAAAAATCAGAAAGTAACCGAGAGTGGTGGCACAGGCCTTTGAGCCCAGCACTTCGGAATCACAGGCAAGCAGATCTCTGTGACTTCAAGGCCATCCTGGTCTAAACAGTGAGTCCTAGGCCAGTCAAGGCTACAGAGTGAAACCCTGTCCCAAGAAAGAAAAAGTTACGGGCGCATGTGTGTACATGTTCATTTGTGGAGGGGGGTGTGCATGTGTGTACAGGGGCTAAAGGTCACTGTGTCCTCCTTATACTTTGAGACAGGGTCTCTCATTGAACCTGCAGTGTACCGATTTCGTGAGACTAGCTGTCCAGCAAGCCCCAGGGATCTTCCTGTCCCCGCTGGTGTTACAGGCTGTGCCACTGTATGTAGCCAGTCGGAAAGGGGGCACCACATTCTTAGACTACTTCCTGCTGGTCAAACTTCGGGGCAAGTTTGAGCCTCACTGTCAGTACATTTAATTTCTTCTTGTTGTTTGTTTCCTCTTTGTGTATGACTACCTAACAAATCATGGCCAACAACAACAACCAACAACCCACAACCCACGCCCAACCTCTCAGGGCCCTAGCATTTATATGCCCTCTGAAAAGTTCCCAGAATCCCAAATGTCACACAATCGCAGAAACTATCTACATCTGGTAAAACCGCGCCTCTGCCAGAGCACAAGGCAAATCATAGTCGGTTGCTGCCAAGCGGCCCCGTATCCCCACACCTGGGATTAAAACAAAAACACATTCTTTATTTTTTTTAAAGAAGCCAAAATTCCACAATTCCCACAAAAGCTGTATCCAGTGGCTTCTTTCCTTTACATTTTTTTTCTTTTAAAATGTTTCTTACTGATTCTTTGAGACTTTCGTGCAATGTGTTTTGATCATATTCATACACACCCACATTCTCCAACTCTTCCCAGATCTGCTCTCTCTCTCTCTCTCTCTCTCTCTCTCTTGCTCTTTTTAAACCCAATTGAATCCAATTTGTGTTGCCCAAATACTTGTGGGTGGGAAGCCTGTCCTGGAGCTTGGTAGGATTATCGGGGATCGTACATCCTTAAAGGAAACTGACTCTCTCCTTTCAGAGCAGCTACCACATGCCAGTAGCTCCTCAGCTACCCTCCCTCTCACCGTGTTGAAGTTAGTGTGCTGAGGTGGAAGTTTTTATTTCTTTAAAACTCAGTTATGAGAGGCTGGAGAGATGGCTCAACGATTAAGAGTACTGTCTGCTCTTCCAGAGATCCTGAGTTCAATTCCCAGCAACCACATGGTGGCTCAAAACCATCTATGCCTTCTACTGCCCTCTTCTGGCCGGCAGGTGCACATGCAGATAGAGCACTAATATGCATTAAATAAATAAATAGATAGATAGATAGATAGATAGATAGATAGATAGATAAATAAGTAAATAAAATCTTAAAAAAAAACCACCTCAGTTATGTTATATAAACATGTTTTTGTTTCAATCCCAAGTGTGGGATATGGAGCTGCTTTTAGTTTGTCCACAGCTGATAACAGCCTAGTTCAGCTCAGAGAGGGGCGTGGCCTCTGCCAGCTGCAGATAGAATTCTGAGGACTCGGAGAGGGGAAGAGGACGCTTTGAGGAGACAGAGGAGAGAGAAGGCTGCTGCCCGTTTGCTGGTTACTTGGATCGCTGGATATCCTGATGACTGAGATGGGTAGTACCCCAAAGAATCCTGTGACCCTAAATGGCCGCAAGTAGCTAAAGAGAACTCTGCCCTTTTGCCCTTTCACCTTCTTTCTCTCTTACCTAATGTTGGCGGGTGGGTGGGAGGGAGGTAGAGGCATAAGAAACCAAAATAAAATAGCACCAACAGTGTGCGGGCAAGTTTTATGTCAACTGGACACAAGCTAGAGTCATCAGAGAGGAGGGAGATTGATTGAGAGGGTACCTCTATACAATCAGGCTGTGAGGCCATTTTCTTTTCTTTTCTTTTCTTTTCTTTTCTTTTCTTTTCTTTTCTTTTCTTTTCTTTTCTTTTCTTTTCTTTTCTCTTCTCTTCTTTTCTCTTCTCTTCTCTTTTCTTTTCTTTCCTTTTCCTGGAGCATTTATTTTTTATTTTGTTATTAATTACAGTTTATTCACTTTGTATCCCAGCTGTAGCCCCCTCCTCCATCCCCTCCCAATTCCACCCTCCCTCCCTCTTTTTCTTCTATGCCCCTCCCCCAGTCCAATGATAGGGGAGGTCCTCCTCCCTTTCCATCTGATCATAGTCTATCAGGTATCATCAGAACTGGCTTCATTGTCTTCCTCTGTGGACTGGTAAGGCTGCTCCTCTCTCAGGTGGAGGTGATCCAAGAGCCAGCCCATGAGTTCATGTCAGAGAATGGTCAGGGAATGGCAGAGAAACACTTAATGAAATGCTCAACATCTTTGGTCATCAGGAAAATGCAAATAAAAACGACCCTGAGATTTCACCTTACACCCATCAGAATGGCTAAGAGCAAAAACTCAAGTGGCAACACATGCTGGAGAGGATGTGGAGAAAGAGAAACCCTCCTCCATTGCTGGTGGGAATGTAAAGTTGTGCAACCACTTTGGAAATCAATCAGGAGCTATCTCAGAAAAATAGGAATAGCAATATCTCAAGACCCAGCTATACCACTCCTAGGCATATATCCAAAAGATGCTCAGGTTCACAACAAGGACATTTGCTCAACCATGTATGTAGCAGCTTTATTTGTAATAGCCAGAAGCTGGAAACAACCCAGATGTCCCTCAACTGAAGAATGGATGCAGAAATTGTGGTTCATTTACACTATGGAATACTACTCAGCAATTAAAAACAAAGAAATCATGAAATTTGCAGGCAAATGGTGGGATCTAGAAAAGATCATCCTGAGTGAGGTCTCCCAGGAGCAGAAAGACACACATGCTATATTCTTTTCTTTTAAATCTAACTTTTTATTGGATTCCTTGTGAACTTCACATCACGCATCTGAACACGCTGATCTCCCCATCTCCTCATACTCACCCTCTGCACTCGCAACTTCCCCCACCCCATTGAAAAAGAAATCTGTGGAACCTGCGGTATGTCACAGTGTGCCGCACATTATACCCTTTGGTCCACACTTCTTAGCTTGCAGATGTTCATTGCAATGGCTGGGTTGGTCTGGTAGAGGCCTCTGGCTACTCTATCAATACTGGATCCTCACTGGGACTCCTCTCTGATGGCCTGTTGTTGCCCTGTGTCATGGAGATCCTACAGCTTCATATCTGTAGGACTGGTCCCTTCACACTCTCCAAAAGTTTATAGATGGGGTAGATGTTGGAGTGGGCCAACTCAAAGCCCCAGATCTGTAGCAAAGCTGGTCAGCATGCCAGCTCTCCCATACCCACACTGCCAGGGTTAGCTCTCTATCACTGCCTCAGCTGCCTCATCCAAAGCTACAACTGGCAAGGGGCGGAGCCAGCTCTCCCCATCTCATGTCCTCCTCCGAGGTGGCTCACCCACAGCCCCCGCAAGCAGGACCGGCTCTACTGTGCTGTTCAGGTGAGGAGCAGAGCCCCACTCTCCTGAGTGCAGCAGCCAGGGAGGGGCAGGGACAGCTTTCCCCGTTCTCATGACCTGAGGGCAAGCTCTCCTGCCTGTCATAGGTGGCAAGGGGCAAGGGGGCATCTCTTCCTCAACCATGCTACCAAACAGCATACAAGTGCTGGGGCCAGCTCTCCCACGACCACACCCTCGAGGCTGCCTCACCCACAACTCCTACAACCAGGAGCAGCTCTCCTGTGCTTCCTGGGAGAGGTATGTGGCCTCTCTCCGGAATACTGCAGCTGTCAAGAGGTGGGGCCAGCCCTCCGGCATTTTCTTTATTAGTGATCCGTGGGGGAATGCCCAGCCCATTGTGGGTGGGAGTTGATTCTATAAAAAAAAAAAAAATTAAAAAAAAAAAGCCGACTGAGAAACGGGCACGGTAGCCCATGCCTTTAATTCCAGCACTCAAGAAGGCAGAGGCAGGCAGATTGCTGTGAGTTTGAGGACAGCCTGGTCTACAAGTGAGTCCAGGACAGCCAAGACCACACAGAGAAACCCTGTCTTGAAAAACAAAACAAAACAAAACAAAACAAAACAAAACAAAACAGCAGACTGAGTAAACCACAAGGAGTAAGTCAATAAGCAGCACCCTACTCCCTGGCCTCTGCATCAGCTCCTGCCTCCAAGTTCCTGCCATGTTTGAGTTCTTGTCCCACTGGCTTCTTTCAGTGATGAACTAAGCTGTGGAGGCCTTTCCTGTCCAACTTGTTTATTTGTAGTGTATCATTATAGCAATAGTAATCCTAACTAGGAGAGAGATCGGTACCAGGATGGTGGAGCGTTGCTGTGACTGACCCGACCATGTTGTTTTGTGGAGGATTGTGGTAGGACTTTGGAACTCTGAGCTAGAGAAGCCATTGAATGTTCAAAGCCCAGTGAGCTGTTTTATGGGAGCTCGGGGGATAAGAATGTTGAGAGCAGTGCAGAGGATGGAGGCCTGCTTTGTGAAGTTTCAGAGGGAAGCAAAGACTCTCCCGGACTATTTGTGTGAAGAATCTGTGGTGTCTGGTCAACTGGAGCTGAAGAATCAATCTGTGCTTAACAAGAGACCAGAAACATGAAAGTAAAACCTCTGTTTTAATGGGACCACTGGTGCTGGTTTTGCTGGAGCTGAGAAGTAAGTGGTGATTAGGAAGAGGCCAGCATCACTGAGGTGAAACCTTCTGGGAAGTGTTTCCTGAGAGTCAGCACACAGAAGCTGCGGTCCACAGGCGGCCATGGTTGCACTTACTTGTGCTGGCAGCCAAATGAGGTGATGTAAGAGTCGCCCAGGTGGCGTTGGTTTTAGAAGCATAAATAGGTCTTGGAGAGCAGCTGAGGCTTGGCACTGTGAGAGGCCATGAGAGGCCGTTGGTGAAGGGGCGGCCTCAGTTAATAGCCGAACGCCTAGGATTACAGAGGTCAAGCGGAGAAACTTAGGCTTGGCACCATGAAGGGAGTGTATGAGAAGCTATTGGTGAAAGTGAGGCCCCGTTGCAGCAGAGACCCCGGCATTTTGGAGGCACCAAGTACCATGAGATGACCACCGAGAGCAGCGGCGGCAGGGAGTTGCCTGAGCTTGGAAGACGAGCTGTTTGTGCTGCAGAGGCAGAGGAGTGACCCATGCCTCCTGGAGGAGCCCAGAAGGTCACAGGTGATTTCCAGATATTGGACATTGTGATCTACGCTGTTGGAGTGTGGTTTTGCTTAGCTTTGGTTGTGACTGTGCGCTGGTTCTTCCCTCTTGAAGTAAGAAAGTGTTTAACTTTTTTTTTTTTAATTTTATATGTGCCCACAGTTGAGAGATTTTTAGATTTTATTGTTCGTTTTTGTTTTCACAGACAGGGTTTCTCTGTGTAGCCTTGGATGTCCTGGACTCACTTTGTAGACCAGGCTGGCCTCGAACTTATAGAGATCCACCTGCCTCTGTCTCCCAGAGTGTTGGGATTACAGGCATGTACCACCATACCCGGCTGAGACTGGATTTTAAAAGAGACTGAAATTTCAAGTGTTGGATTTTTTTTCCTTCAGTTTTTCAAGACAAGTTTTCTCTGTATAGAACTTGCTCTGTAGACCAGGCCTTGAACTCACAGAGATCTGTTCGCCTCTGCCTCCAAAGCGCTTAAATAAAGGTGTGATCCACCATTGCCTGGCTAAGTGTTGGAATTTTTCAAATGTATTTAATTTTATTTCATGTGCATTAGTGTGAAGGTGTCAGATCCCTTGGAATTGGGGTTACGGACAGTTGTGAGCTGCCATGTGGGTGCTGGGAATTGAACCCGGGTCCTTTGGAAGCGCACACAGTGCTCTTAACCACTGAGCCATCTAGTCAGCCCCAAGTGTTGGAATGTTTAAGGATTGTGGGACTTTTACATTTTGGAATGTTTATAATGTAATTATTTGTAGTGTTTATAATGTTGGTAATGTGTGATCTCTGGGTTGGACAGGAAAGGAAAGGTTGTGACTTAACAGTGATGTGTGGAATTGATAAGGTCACTTGTTCTGGCTAGTTTTGTGGCGGTCATCTTGACAGAATGACTTCAGAAGGGAGGGACCCTCAGCTGAGAGAAGACACTATTCGTCTGTTGACAAGCCTGTAGGGCATTTTCTTAATTGGTGATCCATGGGGAGGGGAAAGGGGCAACCCATTGTGTTCTCGTGGGCTGATGTTCTTGATTCTGTAAGAAAGCAGACTGAACAAGTCATGTGGAACAAGCCAGTAAGCAGCACCTCTCCATCAGCTCCTGCCTCCTGGTTTCTGACCTGTTTGGGTTCCTTTCCTGGCTTCCTTCAATGATGGACTAAGCTGTGGAATGTAAGCCAAATAAACCCTCTCCTCGGTAACCCTGACACATCTGGCTTCAGCAGGTCTTGTGCACTCTGTCACAGCTGCTGTGAGTTCATCCGAGCACATGCCCTGTTGTATGCAGGAAACACTGTTCCGTTGTAATCTTTCTGCCGGGAGTTCCTTGAGAGTCCCTCAGCCTTGGGAGGAGGGATATGATATAGAATCCTTTTTAGGTTCCGTGCATTGACCAGTTGTAGGTCTGTGTTAATCACCACCTAATGCCAGAAGAAGCTTCTCTAACGAGGGTTGAGAAATGCATTAATATATGGGTAAAGCAAGAAGTCATTAGGAGCTTAAAACTGTCCATTTGGGAGAATAATAGGCTGTCCCCTAGGGCCCACGAGCTCTCTAATCACAGGTCCTTGACCCTGATAATGGTGTCGGATATGGGTTCCATCTGGTGGAAGTTTGCTTTTATGTAGATGCTAGGGAGCTAATTCAGATTCTCATGTTTGTACAGCAAGCAGTCTGCTGACTGAGCTATAGCCCACACCCCTGTCATTTTGTTGCTTTGTTTTGGCTTTTTGGTTTCTCAAGACAAGGTTTCTCTGTGTAGCCTTGGCTGTCCTGGACTCATTTGTAGAGCTGGCTGGCCTCGAACTCACAGAGATCTGCCTGCCTCTGCCTCCGGCTGCCTCCGCCCCCTGAGGGCAGGTGTTAAAGGCATGCACCACCATGCCTGCCTTGCACTCAGTTTTAACTGTGCTCATCTAAAACACCATGATAGAAAGCTTTAGTCTTTTGATGTGATCAGTCGAAACCCACAGTGGGTCGGCCAAAGAGCAGAAATCTTAAAATTAAAAAAAGAGGCTTTGCAGACGCCGCTGTCATGTGTCACCTTTTGCTGCAGCCATGGTCAACCCCACCATGTTCTTCGACATTGAGGCCGATGGCCAGCCCTTGGGCCGCATCTCCTTTGAGCTGTTTGTAGACAAAGTTCCATAGACAGCAGAAAACTTTCATGCTCTGAGTGCTGGAGAAAAAGGACTTGAATATAAGGGTTCCTCCTTTCACAGAATTATTCTAGGATTCATGTGCCAGGACGGTGACTTCACACGCCATAATGACACTGGCGGCAGGTCCATCTACGGGGAGAAATTTATCTCCACTGCCAAGACTGAGGGGCTGGCTGGCAAGCATGTGGCCTTTGGGAAGGTGAAAGAAGGCATGAACGTGGAAGCCCTGGAGCATTTCGGGTCCAGGAATGGCAAGACCAGCAAGAAGATCACAATTTCCAACTGTGGACAACTCTAAACTAATTCTTTTGACTTGTGGGCATCTTACCCACCAGACCATTCCTTCTGTAGCTCAGGAGAGCACCCCAATCCCATTTGCTCGAAGTACCCTGTGATCTCTGCTCTCGCTGAAGTTCTCTATGGGTTCTATGTTTTCCTCATTCCCCTCCAAGTCTAGCTGGATTGCGGAGTTAAGTTTATGATTATGAATAAAAAGTAAATAAGGAAAAAAAAATTCTTTCACAAATTCAGACCTGCAAAAAGGGACATCTCTATTTATTGGGGGAAATTTCACAAGATCGCTGTTGTCATCATGCAGACAAATTTGCAAAAGGGAGCACATGCTCTATTAGAATAGCACAGATGGCTCACGCCTCCAGTGCCGGAAATGATGTAGAGTATATAATGTGCTGACCTGTGCTGACCTGTGCTGACCTGTGTCACGTGCCTACCTGCTGTGTTAACTCTCAGGAGGCTGAGCAGGAAGATTATCTGAGACCAGGAGCTCAAGACCAGTCTGTATAGCGCACTGAAACTCCAGCTTAAAAGAAGAGAGAATAGGACTGGAGAGGTGGCCCGGTGGTTGAGAGTATCAGCGGCTCTTCCAGAGGACCGGGGTTTGGTTCCCAGCATCCACCTGGCAGCTCCCAGCCATCTGTAATTCCAGTTCCAGGAGATACAACACCCTTTCCTAGGCTCTGTGAACATTGTTTGTATGGCAGTGCAGCATGCAGGCAAAACGTCCACACACATAAAAAGAAATAAAAAGAGCACAAAAGAAAAGTGTGATCAGAAGGAAGGAGAGGAGGACCTCCCCTATCAGTGGACTTGGGAGGGGCAAGCGAGAAGAAGGCGGAGGGAGGGTGGGGCTGGGAGGGGAGGAGGGAGGGGCTTATGGGGGGGATACAAAGTGAATAAACTGTAATTAATAAAAAATTTTAAAAAAAGATTAAAAAAAAAAAAGAAAAGTGTGTGCGGGCAGACTAACAAAGGGGAAAATTTTAATAATTCAATACCTGAAAAAGTGTAAGATTGTGATCAGCCACCTGAGGGCAACCCACAAACTCTGCTCTCAGTCAGTAATTAGCTGTATTTGAAAGTCTCACATCTGAGCGGAATAGCTGCTTTTTCCTGTTGGGGCAGGGCTCTCTTTAGAGAGTACACCTACTTTCATTTTCCATGTGGTGCTCTCCCTGGGACATTCTTCCGAGTTGATATACAGGGGCAGGAGCATTCCTGCTAAGCTTCCCCCTTCTTCTGAGCCAGGCTGCTGTGTCATGAGTGTGCAGAAATTCAGTCCCGTGCCCTCATAGGCAACCACAGATTTGGCATAAACAGTGCTGGTGATGGAAGGGGAACACCAGGGCGTAAGTGTTTTCTTATCCTACTGTGTGCAAAATTATCTTCAAGCTATTTCGTGACTTTGCTCACTTCTGTGGGCAAATGTGGCTTTAATTCATTAAACATTCCTTGGAATTGCACCAGCCAAAGGAATGCCAACCCCCGAACAGGACACACTTTTAAACTGATGTTTTTCTCATTGCCATATTATGTGGTTGATCCAGTCATCTGAGTTTCCTATCAAAAGTATTGGGCTGGGTGGAAAAAAAAAAGTTTGTTGGTCATGTAAAATTCATCTTTAGGAGCCTTGTGTGCACCTAATTTCGAATACGTCATTCCGGTCTGGGGTTCAAGTGGGGTACATTTTCTTCTGCAGCGCCCATAAAGGTTTAAATGAGTGCTTATAAACTGTTTTCATTTACTCAGCCACTAACCAACTCCTAAACAATCAGATGAGTCACCCACTTTCAGCTGGGCATTGTGATGCACACCTTCAGCACCAGCATTTAGGAGGGCAGAGGCAGGTGGATGTCTTTGAGTTCAAGGCCAGCCAGGGCTTCATGGAGAGTTCCAGGGCTCATAGTAAGACCCTGACTTAAAAGATACAGAGAGACAGACAGAGAGAGAGACAGAGAAATGGTGGAGTTTCTGGTTTTCTTTCTTTGTTTTATTTATTTTCTTCCTTTATTTTTTTGAGACAGGGTTTCTATGTGTAGCATTGGCTGTCCTTGCTTTGTAGACCAGGCTGCCCTCGGACTCACAGATCTGCCTGCCTCTGTCTCCCTGAGTGCCGGGACTACAGGTTTGTGCCACCACACCTGACTGTTTTTTTTTTTTTTTTCCTTTTGTCTTTTCTTTTTTTTCTTATTTATTTTTTTAAAAGATTTATTTTTATTTATTATGCATATAATGTTATGAATAGCCAATGTTCTTAACCTCTGAGCCATCCATCTCTCCAGCTCCTTCTTCCTTCCTTTCTTTCTTTCTTTCTTTCTTTCTTTCTTTCTTTCTTCCTTCCTTTCTTTCTTTCTTTCTGTCTCTTTTTGTTTGGTTTGGTTTGGTTTAGGTTTGGATTTTTTGTTTTTGTTCCTGTTTGTTTGTTTTTTGAGTCAGGGTTTCTCTGTTTAGCCCTGACTGTCCTAGAACTCACTCTGTAGACCAGGCTGGACTCAAACTCCCAAATACCAGGAAAAAAGGGTGTGTGCCACCACTGTCTGGCTCAGATTTTCACTACCAATTAAATATATATCTATGTGACCATATAGCTAGAGCAAACATGATTTAAGTACTCCCCAGAAGTAGAAAGGGAGAGAGAATACTTCGTGAATACCATTTACAGTCCAGATTGTTCTCTTGACTCCGTGCCTAGTGCCACAAAGAATCTGCATCCTGAGAGCGCCAGATAGTCTAGGGACCCTCATTCCACTCTCTTGGCACTTCAGCCCTTGAAGTATGGAAATGTAGCTTTTGATAAAAGAATCCACAGGCCTGAATGATCTGACCTGAGAAGTCTTTGAAACGGAGTGGCCTGATGCCTGAGACCCTAACTCATTTTATTCTTCGAAAGGAAAAGAGGATGGAGCGGAGAGATGGCTCAGCAGTTAAGAGTACATACTGTTTTTGCAGAGGTCCTGAGTTCAGTTCCTAGCACTCACATTAAGACGATCACAATGGCCTGTAACTACAATTTCTGGGACCTGGATGCCTTCGGCCTCTGCAGGTGAGTGTGCGGGCATCCATATACACTTTAAATAATAAAAATAAGTATTTTAAAAAGGAAAGGTGTGATGATTTGAGTCTATCATCTCAACACTTGGGAGATTTAGGATTGTCATGAATTTGAGCCAGCCTGAGCCAGACTGAGATCTTCCCCAACTGCCCCCCCCCCCATCACCACCACCAAAAGGAGGAAGGGACAGGCACAGTAGCCCAAGCTTGTACTCCTGCCTATTTTGGAAACTGAGCCAGGAGGATTGCCCCAGTTCAGGAGTTGATAGGAAGAGCCAGTCTATTTTTGGAAAGAAAGATAAGTTTAAAAGTGACTCCACGCTGGGTATGGTGATGTGAAGCTTTAATCCCAGCACTTGGGAGGCAGAGGCAGGTGGAGCTCTGAGTTTAAGGCCAGCCTGGTCTACATAGTGAGTTGCAGGACAACCCAGGGATACACAGAGAAACCTTGTCTTGGGAAAGAAAAGAAAACAATAACAACAACAACAACAAAACCAAAACGAAAATATCTGGTGGTATTCTAAAAGTAACTCTAATTTTCCAGAGGTAGAACCAGAACGATCAGCACAAGTTTGAGGCAGCCTATACCACAGTGTAGGCACCTCTCTCTCTCTCTCTCTCTCTCTCACACACACACACACACACAAATATAAATAGAAGCGAAAATTTAAAAGAGGATGAACTGCAGGAAGAGACTTGAAAACAGCAAGAGTCATGGGCAAATGCCCCAGCCCAGCATTTCTCCATTAGTGAGAACAATTTCAGATCTCTGATGTAGGCTTGTTTTTCAAGTAACGATAAACGTGAAGCTAAGAGTATGTGTGCAGCGGGGCAAGGTAGCAGAGGCCTGTTATCTCCGAGCTAGGGACTCAGAGGGAGCAGAATCAGAAGTTCAAGGTCATCCCCAAGGCCATCCTGAGCCGTGTAAGATGGTTTCTCAAAAGACCCACCCGTGAACCAGACAACAGAAACACTGAGAGCACTAACACAGTAGGATCACACAGCGGGCCTAACAGCCGCCATCGTTTCTGAGCTGAAGGTCTCTGGCTCAGAGGTAGCTTGCCTGCCTGGCTTACGTGAGGCCCTCAGTTTGATCTCCAGGACTTCGACACTAACTGCCATCGTGTCTGAGTACTGATCGGCATAGGTTGGTGATAGCCACAGGTGATAGCCATGGGTTTTTTTTTAACAATAATCACAAAACCGTGAGCTCGCTAACGTTTCAGAAAGGTATAAAAATAATGTGACTGTCTTCAAAATTTACCCCTTTGAGTACTTCTGAATTCCTTAAGTGGTCCTGCGGACCCCACCGAAAAACCACTGACCCTAAACCTTAACCAAGTAAAACGAGTTAAGTTCTAGATTAGTTGATTCTCTGCTTTTGTGCTAAGACCAGGGTAGGACCTGTTCTGTGAGTTTGGATAATTGGTACAGCAGGTTGGATGATTAAGCAGATGCCCAGGTCTCCCATGGAGGGAGACCCGAACCCGTCACCCTAAGCAGCCTCCAAGGATGCCTTGCCGATGGCCTGCCTGAGAGCCTCTCCCGGCACGATGCGGTTGACACCCGAGTCTTTTCCTCTTGGCTTCACTGCGGGATGCTGGGCAGCCCCCTCCGTGTCCTCAGTCAGACCCTCCTCCCCAGGAGCAGCTCCACATTCCATGGCACTGTGTGTCTCTCAGGCCACAGGAAAGGAGATACTGCTCACCCCCGGGGGAGGAGGAGGGGAACTCCCCTAATGCTGGCTGTGTGGAGACCCTCCCTCCCCCCAAGAGGAAGGAGGACCCAGCCACTCATACTGTCACCCCCTCCACCCACCCTCTGGCTGGAAAGGGCTGAAATGTCCTGGAGTTGCTAAGCAACAGGACAGAATTCAATGAGAACCGTACCCAGAGAATTGCTACACCCTCAGTATCATGCAGTATATGTAACGTAACGCAGCGCTGTCCT